GTAGCTGCAAAGTTTCAGGCGCACAGCGATCTGGTTCGTTGTTTGCCATGGGTAGAGAACCCTCTTTGCACGACCTTGTGCACTAAGATCAGAAGGCTGGAATCTCGCCAACATCTCCGCCTCAGTTTCCAGGTCTTGATTGTTGGTGGAATCTCCACATTTCTCCGTTTGCTGCCCCGACCGTTGGCGATCCGTAATCGAACGCTTTATGATAGCGAGTTGCTCTTCAAATATGCCGAAACTGGATTTAAGCTCAGAGTCCTGGAGGCTCATGGCCTGAATGCAAAAACCATATGCGTCTCTCATGCAGCCGCACTGAACGAGACTTTTGACGAGCAATATGTACACATTACAGATATTTTCCGTATATTCGTCTTGAGAGATGGGTTCAAAACCTTCTTCTTCCTCTTCGTCTTCCTCCATGTGCCCGTTCTGATCTACATCATCGTCGTAACTTTCGGGCTCGCCATAATCACTTCCGCCAGCCCCAACATGAACATTCATGGAGGTATCCCTATCCACAAGCCCAGAGGAACTAATCAGCTCCACAGCATCCAAACCCACCTTTTTCCGAGGCCTGTACTCGCTAGAATCCGGATCAATCATGGCCTCAAACAAGGTTAGCGCACGATATGCATCTGCCGCCGCAAGATCAGGATATCCGAGCTGAGAGTGTAAGATGCCGCGCTGAAGGTGGCGCATGGGGTTATGAGGATCCGCATACAGCAGAGCAGTGGCATCCTCTCGTTGCATAAGGAGGACTATACCAGGGTTTTTATTGTCGTTCATGCTGTCGTGGCTGTTACACTTTATTTTGGCAAACATCTTGAACAGTTGGTTCCTCTGTTCAGGAACAAGGGAGGAGGGTCATCTCCGTGTCCAGGTATTTTCATGGAATGGAAGGAAAATAAGATCCCTTCCGTTCTTGTGAGTAGACTTTCCGTTCTTGTTTTGGTGAAAAGGTATTCAGAGCGTGCTACCCCAGCTTGCGGTTCCTCAAGCCTATCTCAATGTTTGTGTTTATATCGCATAACGATAAGTTCGTACCGGAACTTACCTCTACGCGTAGTCAAGTTAAAAAGGAATGAATTTTTTTATAATATCAGGTGACCCATGAACCCTAATAGGCTTATACGAGATGTTTGTATTTATTTTTATAGGCTTATACTGGATAGGAACAATAACAACAATAGCATCAAGTTGATTACCAACAGTATTTTCATTTCACTCATTACAAAAAAGAGCATAGCATTAAAATTGTAGGCTGCATAAAAAGCGTCCAGGCTAAATATAGCGTGTCTACTATCGATCTTCCCTAAATCTACCCTTTTGCTCTCCCGAACAGCGTTACAAACTATTGTGATCCTTGGCCGTTGAACATACCCGAAAGAGAAGTGCATCAAGTGCCGCTATTTCGTAATTATATGAGAATTAAAATGTAGGTATAATGGATATTGCCGTCTGTCGTGTGTAAACCGCCATAATCAAACATGAGAAAAGACCGTGTCCCGCCTGTTAATGGTATTCACGGAGGGGATGAGGTACAGGGAGGATTCACATAACCTATCGGTGAAAACGGTCAACAATATGTCAATTACAACAGCGTCAGTTTTCAGCCTTAATACTCACTAGCCGTAAAAGAAGACAAAAGGAAATTGTCCAACTTACGTTGCAATTCTCATCCAAGATGATGGTACCCCCTTCGCCACCCTCTGTAGTCTCTATGGTACCTCGGATAACCTGTCTTTCTCTCAGCGCTGCTGCCAGGCGCGCCAGCATACCCCTCTATATGATACGAATATAAATGAGTATTAGGAAAAACCAAAGGAGATGAAAATGGGAAGGGGCAAGGCACCGACTACAAGTGCTTTATGGAACTATTATTTCGTCTTTACGCAAACCACGAGTTCCATTCAGAGAAAGGCACTATGGTCCTGTGCTCGGTCAATAATTGTATCCCACGTACCGTGATGAAAGCTTCGTTCATCCCTCCCTGCCGGTTGATGTCATTTTGACTCATTATCTGATAGCTGTCCTGCATGCGCTTTCGGCTCTTAAGCCCAAGTTCGTGACGACCTGTTTGGTTTCCTCCAACATGACTCCCAGAAACGATATTAGCGTGCGCATCAGGATCAGCAATATTAATTCCTAGACGGGCATTATGTTGAGCTCGAGTGTCTGGAGAGAATATTTTGATAGTTCGATCGATCCCAGAAACAGCAAGAGTTGGTTCGTACGGATGGCCTATAGAATACCAAATGAGATGACTGAGATTGCAATGAAACCGTTTTCGTGGGTAAATCTCACCTTGAACCACGTTGACAACGTCGCTATCGCCCTCCAGAATGTTGACCAAATCCGAGGTCTTCCGGTCCCAGATAAAAACATGTCCAGAATCACTGCCACTAACCACATATTCGTCGTCTAATCCGAAATAATTCACGTCTTTGACAGTTTTTATATTGCAATGTCCTCGATAAACATTTAAATGTGTGGAACAGGGAACATGGCTTTCAACTGCATTTCGCCGATTACCACCCCGTCGGACAAATAACCGACCAGCAGGCCCGCCAAATTCGTCACTCTCGTCAGAGTCGCTGGCGCGGCCGCTATTTTCTGAATCTGAGAGATAATCATAAGAGCCATCTGGTCCGTCGTCATCCGTCCCAGAGTCTTCTTCGTCAGAATCACAATCTGCCAGGCGTTGGTTTAGCGATCCAGCTACTGGTGACTCTGGGTCTTGTGGAGGTTGGTCGCTCATAGGATTATCCGCTGGTCGCTGGCTCCTGCTCGTCGCTCGATCAGCAGAAGTCATTAGTCTAACTTCTTCGATCTGTTCCTCTTCCTCATCAGGATCAATGTCTTCCTGGATTCTTTCCCTTTGATCATCATTTTCATCGTCCTCTTCCACAGTAGCCCGAATACCACCAAAGGCACGGTTAACGAATTCAAAGTTGACACCCTCGCCCACCTCCATGAGTATTCCCCTGCCTACCTTGAGGCCCCAGAATCGAAAGGAGGTATTGCGATCCAAAGATTGCAAATCTGTTCCGCCTTCACTGCTCTCACCACCCCCTTCTCTTGCGGAAGCTGCAGCGCTCCCTACAAGGTCTGTTAGAGACAATTTAATGCATTCCGCAAATGCATTAACAGCAGCTAACTGTGAGACAAACAAGACGCGCGATGAATCATGTTCAAATCTCGACGCATCAACGTTTTTGATAGCTTCATCCCCTGCTAGATTTCGTAGATATGGAATTAATATAGATTCGATGGAATCTTCTTCAGCGTCTTCGGGTATGGGAAATCTGTCACTATCGTGACGGTGGGCGCGATTCCACTTGAAGCCTCGCAAAAGAGACTGTCGTCCACCCTCGAGCCAGAGGAGGATTGCTTTTAGGAAATCGTATCCAAATTGGGCCGAAGGATCTATCAATCCATTTTCAGTTGGAGCAGGTACGATTTGGTGGAATAAATCGCAGCTGCGGGCTGTCTGAATCCGACGGTGTT